GAAAAATAATAACATTTTATTTTAAATAACTTAAAATACAACTACAGAAATCAAAAATAAAGAATTGACCTTTATTCTTGTATTTAGGCCTATATAAAATATATAAGTTTTAGAAAATTACGTAGCGTGCTTATTGCAGAATATGTTAAAAAAATTACCAAGAATTTCATTTAAGTTGAAAATAGGCAGCAAATTATTATTGATACTTCAGTCGGAATTGACCGACATAGTTTTCAGATCACCAAGCGAAGATTCCGAAAACGTGTCAAGAAATAAATTGAAGTTAACGGTAGAATCACTTTTAATTAATTAATGTAGTCTTTGCTGCATTGCTTGTAAAACACAGCTGTGTGTTTGCAAGAATGAACTTCTTCTATTCAATATACGAAACATTACTAGTTTTTATATTATTGTCATTGCCTGTTTAATTTTATTTCGCTATCTGAATATCGCATGTGGTGTTGTAAATTTTTTTCTGTTTGTTCAATTCAATGATAAAAAATCATTGAATTGAACAAACAGAAAAATTTACAACACTACATGCGATATTTGAGATAACTGGCATGACTGTGTTGCTAAAAAAAGTATAATGTAAAGGGGCAAGCCACTACGAATTTCAAATGGAGAGCATATATTTTAAATTAAATGTATGATTAGAAATTGCAGTCTGGTATTGTAACAATGTCAAAATAATTAATTGCTCGTGCTACTTTTAGATTTTTTCAAATACAGTTTGCAATATATTTATTATATATTAATATTATTGGTCACAATATTTTCTGTATGTGCTTCGGTGTCGATACTTTAGAGAAGTTGCGGATGAAGTTCGAAAGTTAAATTTGTACAGCAAGCAGAGGTACACGTTTGACGTTTGAACTCAAAGTAAAACACGTTGCGCCACACGTTCACATCGCACATTGACTCATGGTATATTGTTCAAAAATAGCAGAGACGTTTAACAACGACGAATGTTACTTTTCTATTTTTTATCCAGCAAAGGCGTTTATCCGAAAGCAGCTCGGTAAATTATTTTTAGAAAATGTACAAACGTATTACGCTGTTGATGGTAGAAGATGCTATGAAAGACCAAACCTACTCCTACAGAATTATGATAAGCTATTATGAACAAAAATATATTTAAATTCTATAAAACTTCACATCACTTGCAAAAAAGTTAAATAATTAAATAATTTATGGATTAAAACGTCTGTTTCTTTATAATATTATTCATAAATGATTAAGTAATTATTATTTTCATAAATTACGTTATAATTTTAATCCCAAACACAAAAAAAATGAAGTTTAACCCGTTCGGAATGACAAAATTTGTTAATATCATCCACAACGCCAGATGGAAGAAAAACCAATTTTACACGATTAAAATACGTCAATTAAAATTTAATTAGATTTAATTAATATATAATATTTAAATGTTAATTTACTACAAAAAATGTTCTTATAATTTAAAAAAAATACGATTCTTATTTGCTGAGATTATAACGCAGAGGCATCTCGTTTCTCTCAAACAAAACAAATGCATGTGTCCAGGGTGTAAAGTTGGAGCTCTGTGTGTAATAACCTCAGAAACAGTGGGGTAAGGAGAAGTGGAGTTTGGGTAACTAGGTCAGGTTTAGTAACTTAAACGTATTTTCTGCTTCAAAAAGTGAATATTAGACACTATTTAAATATTATTTAAATGAATATTACAATATTAAAATATAATTAGTGATGAATGAATTTTTTCCAGCAAATAGGCAACAAACCTCCGAAAGTAATAAGTTTGGCAGAATAGTTTATCGCTGGATGCTTCGGATAAGACACCTTGTAGTCTAAAAAAAAAACATTAAACAAGAAAATTAGTGTGAGATCCAGAACCTGATTTTGTTTTAATTTAAGGAAATTTTTAACATATTTTTCCATTGCGATTGTTAAAAAAACATCGCACAGAAATTGGATTGAATGTCACCCTTTTTATCACCTACTGTTAAGAAATTACAGTGGAGCATCGATTATCCGAAAAAATTCGGGACTGGGGTTGTTTAGATAACTGATCCTGTATGAAAAATATATTAACTCTTACAAATCTCTTAAGTACAGCGTAAAATGCTGATAAAGCACGATAATGTGAAAAATGTATCTGTAATCTCTATGTACAATTTAGTCTCTAAGGGGTGATACCACAATGGGATCTCGCACCACCTCAAAATCTTGCTAGGGTAGCCTCTGGTTCGGCCCGTGGAAAAAGTTTTCTTTCCAATTCGACCCGAGGGCAAAAACTGTTGGCCACCCTTGGGCTATACTTTCCAACGAGCTGAAGCAAAACACACCACTCACAATGTGGGAAAAAGCCTTGTTCAAATACCGGCGCGTCCTTAAGTAGCCTCTCAACGTGTGTCATGCTGAATCGGAACGTTTTTGATACAGGATTAACTTCCAAAATATAATTTTATTGTTTCTATATAATTCAATATATTTATTTTGTTTGTGCAAAACAAAGAAATAATTTTGAACAATACAATATGGTCGCGCCAGCGCTGCCAGCTAGCGCACGCGCACCAACAAAAATAATATTGGAGTAGCCCAAGACCATAATAGTGCAGCACTACAGAATAGCCAAATAGTGCAGCACTACAGAACTAGCGAAAATTTGAATCTGCCGACTGGATCGCTTTCGGTTTACCGCTGTTTCGGTTGATCGGTATTCAGATAATCGATGCTCTACTGTATAACAATCTATCGTTAATTAAAAAAGGAGAAGTAAACCTACCAACGAGTAAATAGGATGAATCTAACAGGTCTCGAACCAAATATTATACTATCAGTTCCACTTAAACGATTTCTTAACGTCATCAACGGCTCACCTATGTCCTTACACCTGCAATTTCGTCTCCAAACAGTCGATCACCTGATCCTTTTCCCAGGCCTAAGGAAGATAAAAAGAGCTTAAACTTGTTTCTCAGAGCAGACTCCACCATAGACGCTGGTGATCCAAGTCTCGTTCTATTCCACAGGAACTCCAACCAAGGCTCCAGGCATAGTGGACAACATCTCTCTCTCAGAGGTATTTTATATTTAGGTAGAAGGCTTGTAAACTCTTTCTCCTTAAACGTAGATAGATAGAGAAACGTACTTACGCTTAGTATTTAGTTGCGTATCGTAGTTATTATGTAATCTAGGATATATATCTATACTAATATCATAAAGAGGTAATGTTTGTAAGTATGTAAGTAAGTTTGTATGCAGCAGGTAATCTCCGAAACTACTCATCCGATTTCAAAAATTCTTTCACCAATATTTAGATTGGAACTTCAGGGTGGACATAGGCTGTATATTATTCCGTTAAACATTCATATAAATTAAAAGTTATAATCTAGGTTAAGGCTTTTATGTCCAACAGATAGAGCTACGAGTACAACGTCCTAAGTTTGCTTTTCTATGAGGCATTATGCTTTTCTGTGAAAATGAACTCAAGCGGATCATCTTCTATCTATTTATATAAATAAAAATGTAATGTTCGTTTGTTCCTACCGATTCCTTTGAAATTTTGACACAACGCTGCATTCGAATACGCACGTGTTTTTATATAACATACGTGTGAAAATTCCACCCACTGAAGGGAGATGGTTAGAATTAAGGCTTACGGTAAAAAACTCTGCTTCTATTTATACTATTTTAGATGCGGGTTTTTGCGTTTTAATAGGGTACGTCAACAGAATGTACACTAACAATCAAACAATCAAACAATCAAAATGCCATTATTTTGAAAATAAAACAAGGTAATACAGTATTAACTGCGCTAAAATCATAATAAACTTTTTTCTTACTTTCAGTTCTGCAAACTTTTTTATTGCATCACTTTGTGAGATAAGCAGGAGGCTGTAGGGGGTTACCCTATTAATCACTTAATCGGCACAGGCTGGCGAAGCCCGATCTCGACGTCGACGGATGGCTTAGGAGGGCAAAAAGTGAGTGGGGAGTGCGTTTGTAAGCCGGCAGGCGTCCTTCCAATGACAGGAGACAGGTTTAACAAATAAACAAAGCATTTATTAAAATAACAAATCTTGATTACAGGAGGCGATAATAATATTACGGTTAAATGCGGTTAAATATGAGCTAACTATCTTACAGCTAACAGCTCTGACAGCTAAGTCTATCCTCGAAGAGAGAGTTCACAAATCTCTAATAAAATTACCTCTATGAGGAAATGAATGACGTGAGTTGAATGGTCGTGGGAATCGTAGCCGGTGCAGAACTGTCGAATGACGATAAGTATGAAAGTTCAAAGTTGTGGTCTATCTTCTATCAATGTCTTCCTTTCGGTGGGTTATGGAGACAAGATGCACACATTAATGAGTATAACTTCCTGTGGATCGCCTCGAACTTCCGGGGGCTCGCGCTTTTATACGTTTGTGGTGAGAAAGGAGTCACGTGATCGTCATCTGTTGACATTAACGGTGCCTTTTTGACACCTATGTATCAACTTTCCCACCTAATTGTGAAAACAAACGGTCACCTGCGATATAATTCTCACTAAGATAGTTATTTTTTTACCGGAGTTGTTTACAATATTTTTTTACGACAATTACGTAAAAATCGCGGATCTCACATCTTGATCAGCAATTCCGTGCACAATTGCCAACATGGCCAAACCATTATGACGATTTTGTGTAATAGTTCTTAATTAATTTTAACTTAGAGAAACTCCTTTCACCAATTGCTACAGTTATTGGTATCGTTAGCTATATTCTTAATTAAAGCAATAGTAAGATTTGGAGCAAAATTTAACTTTGTAATTAAAATCAGTACAGTGCTGAGACTTTTTTTTTGGCCCAAAAGCGCAGATATTGCTGAAATTTTTTCGGCTAATTCTATCCCATTTATGTCAACAGAATCACCACCAGTTAATTGTTAGAAAGTCTATTTCAACTTTAATTATAAATTAGTCCAAAAATAAAACGTGCGCAAATAATATTTAAACTGATACACGTAATCAATTAATATAAATTTAAAAAGTTTTATTAAGTAAAATTTATATACACGTCTAATTGTTCAACATAATTATAATTGTAGCTTAGACATATACTAACTGCGATATTTCCCTTTTGTTTGTATTCGGGTGTCCAGTGTTTACATCCACGTTGCTGGCGAAAATCCATTATTTTTTGGTCAGAATTTCATCCTCGGTTGAGAGATTTCAAACGACCGAAGACGGTGCTAAGTTGTCACCGTCGACTTTAATTAACTGAAGTGGAAGAACACGTCCCTCGTAAGCGATGACGAAGGACATGTATCATTCCAAAAATTCCCAGCAGGAAAGGGAAGACGCCAAACCGCCATTAAAAGTCACATCCGGTCATTAGGTCAAAGCCAGGTAAAAGTCCACATCCGGGTAAAAATGTCACAATCGGGAATAAAAGTCACATCCGGGTAAAAATGTCACAATCGAAAATAAAAGTCACATTTAATAAGAAGACCTCGGAGATTTATTTCTTCCAGAAGAAGAAAATCTTCTTCCACCAAGGCTTCTTTTTCCTCTTTTTCAGGATCGATTTACACTCCCCTTCGACTCCTTCCTCGCGTGCCTCTCTCTGCACCGACCATTCCGGAACTTCTGGATATCTCTGTTCCAGGTAGTCGATGACAGACGAGGTGCTCTCATCGGGAATGGTGACAATCACCCGTTTCTTGTCGGGTTCCTTCGCACCCTCCAGCACTTCTTTCGGACGCACGCGAATCACTCGAATCGAAGAGGAAGACGTTCCTGATGTCGAGGAGCTTTCCTCCGCACTCTCTTTTTCAGAGGTGTTCCAATTCTTTAGCGCTTTAAAATTGTCCATCCTGCAAACAATAAAAACCGAGTATTAAATATTGTAGAACGAACGTTAAATTAAGAGAATATTAAAAAATCATAATGTAAATACGACAGAAAGTTTTAGAAAATGACCGTTTTAAGTATAAGAAAAATGAATATAAAGTTGTAATGGAAAATTATCGCTGCTAATTGTGATGAAGTACCTAGCAATGTTAAAAAAATACCTAAATCTAGAACGATCAGGGTCTAAACTTACCTAAAATAATGGCAAAAACTGCAGCAAAACTCTCCGAAAATACTCGAAACAATCGCATTCGAACAAAGCAACAGACAATTGTCGAAATTCTATTGTTGCGTGGCGTCTCAGTTTAATGCTAAAAATATCGATATTTTGACAGAATTTCGATTTCGAAGTGTCTTTCTATAGAAACGGACCATTTTGATTTTTGTCTGTAGTCTTTCACTCAAGCCCACAGAGACGAGGTGTAATCCATTTTGTTAGAGTTAGGATCATAAACTAAATTCTATTTAATTTAAATTGAGCTATGGTAGAATCTTTTGGAACTGTTGTTTCTATATTGTTGAACCCATTGTAGATCTATAAATGCTCACTGTCCTTCCTGAAATTGAAAACTTTAATATTTCAAAATTAATATAAAAATTTGTAATTGTCGCTTTTATTTCCCTGTAAGGTTAGATTTTATTAGAACATATTGCACTTAGATGGCTGCACTCAAAGAACTGTTTAGGTTGTCTGTAGGAGCCGACATCTCCGGAAGTAGTACTGTTGTATTTCCAGGAAGCGCGAATAAACAGTAAATTGACGAAGAAAGAGATTCATACGTTCTTAATGACATAGGAATGTGCAAGACAACCGATGATCGCTTTAATCGTCATGATTAAACAATAAACAACAGCACTTATAATAGCTTAGAGACTCATTATGTACTGTACTTCTTAAAGTATTGTTTTTATCCTAATAAATTATTTTCTAAAATTATTGTAAATGCATATTTAAGAAAATACAGCATTTTGTGTTTATCTAGTTATGTTAGAAAATGACTATTAATCAGTTATAATCATTTGTTATTAATTTAGCCGATACTTAAAAGCAAAAATAAGTTATTTGCTGATCTCTTGGTTTATACATAAACTTTCATAGATTTCTCTGCTTTGCATAAATACAGTATGTTTGCACTTTACACTATTAGAAATTTATACAGATTACATTTTCATATTATATCTATGAAGCAATCATTGTTAAAGTAGACCTATAAATTTTTACTGTCGTTTGTCCATCTCCTGTCTTTACTTAATCGAGAGAACTGAGTTATATAGATGGAATTCGAGAGGAGGTATGGAAACTGTAGGCACCGGATGCACAATGAACTACAGTAGAACCTCGATTATCCGGACCTCGATTATCCGGGTTTTCGATTATCCGGATTGTTCAAAATAAACAAAAATTTTACGAATTTGCTGATTTGCACTTGGCGAATTACGATACTGTTTATGTACGTGATGGAATGCATAACTTTTTTTGTTTCAACAACGTCTCACCCAGCACAGTGGTCGTAAACTCTTAAATATATTTTACGTAGTAATAAAAATATAACTTGACATACGTATTTATAAATAATTTATATTCAAATTACATCATTTCTATGACCAAGGGCGGCGTAAGGCATGGACGACGTGGGCCACCGCCTATGCCTCGCGGTCCGAAGGGCCTCGCGCCTCGAAGGTTTATGCATTACTTAAAAGCCGCGAACGCGACGAAAAAATTTTACTCGTCATGAAACAATAAATAGTTTGTCAAATTTTTATTCATAAAAATGCAGTTTCAACTGCTTTTTATTTTATAAAATCCGTCTTCTTGCGCCACCAGAGGGCCTTTTAAACAATAGGTAGTCTGTTAGCGTTGGTCAGTAGTAGTCCTAATTCAATACGAATGTCTGTTTCTTGAAAATTTGATCACGATTTAAATACATCATTTACTTTTAATATTACTGATATGTCATCGAAAAGAAAACGTGTTGTATTATCATTAAAAGACAAATTAAAGTATTTGTTTCGATTATCCGGATTTTTCCTTATCCGGACTACCTTCATTCCCAATTAGTCCGGATAATCGAGGTTCTACTGTATATACGAACGTTTGGTGCTAATTAATAGATGACCAGCGTTGAAGGAAAAGTATGATTTACAGGGAAAATTCACTACTAATTTTAGATGGAGAACGTATATTTTAAATTAAATAAATTATAAATATGATTAAAAATTAACTTGTGGCATTGTGACTAAGTCACAATGCTAAGACAAAATTCCTCATTTTGTCTTGAAAAGGGGCCAGTATGGTTAAATTGAATTAAAGTGCCTCTCCACAAGATAAAGGAAGAAAGAAAGAAAGAAAACTCACAGTTTCAAGACCAGAATCCAATTAAGAAAAAGAAAATTGACAGAATTCTGTAGAAATGCATTCTATAAATTATGTTGTTTTTGCTGTACTTTAGGCGAGATTTCCGATTCACAGGTACTTAAGAACTTACCTGATATAATCATTTAATATTTTATATCATTAGTATCAATACATAAAACCTTGGTTCTTGCTTTCAGAAACATCAACGAAGATTTATTTAAAAAAAGCTATGAATATTGAAGTGAGAACTGAGAGTTTGATAGGGAACATTTTTATGATTTTTAGTCAATATTTTAGAATATTTTAGAGCTGTAAAAATATAGAAAGTTTATTTTTCTTTTCATCTTTACACTTCCTGTGAGTCATTTCAGAAGTGACCTTGATCTTTCAAAAGTGAAAGTATCACCTCATAGTTCCCTTAGGAACAGAGTGTGAAAGAAATCGTGACAATCCTCATCAGTCTATCTATTCTGTATGTAAGGTAAAGATCACCTCTTTACCGCGCTTTTAATTATGTATAGGTAAAGCCGTACTTATAGCTACAAGCTATAATTAGCTTTCTGATTACGTTTCGTCCTTATTTTTGTGCATCGATTTTGGATTATGAAAGAATGATATGAGAAGTCTTTCATTCAAGAAAAGTTTTTTACACGACATCTCCAGGTAACGAATGACATAATTGTAAAACTTTATGGCCGCGAATAAGTGTAAACTTTCAGACAGGGCCTGCTCTAGCCGTTACGTCGCTTCGGACAAAAAGACAAATTGCCGCACCTTAAGAATATATATCTAGGGGAGATCGGCATGTTAAGCTTTACTTAAATTTTGTGTAATAAATATTGCTGTAAACTGAAAAAAAAGCTTTGCATATTGTCTATTGCAATGTTACCTTACTATAGAACTGGTTAAAATCAGTTTGGAAATAAAAATAATTAAAATAATTACAACTTTACAAGAAGAGAGAAATTGACGAAGTTGCCCCGGGTATAGGGGCAAGATCGGCAACTTCTCTCTTTTTGTAAAGTTGTAATTATTTTAATTATTTTTATTAAAGTTGCCCCTGGTATAGGGGCAACAGTAATGGGGCAAGATAGGCACGTATATAAAATTATGTTATTAACAATGTATAAGTTGGAATTCACTATTAAAACAAAGAAATACAAATCCAACACCCATTTAATATTATTACAACGAAATGCAAGTTCAAAGACATATATACATGAATAACAAATGCAAACATGTTTTCATTTATCATCTGTTTGATTTTTATCCTTTGCTTCTAATGTGGCTTTATGTTGCCGATCTTACCCCGCTAGTCATGATTTCGAAACATTAAGTACAACCCTGAGAACAGAATGCCAAGCCACGATCTGGCCACGTGAATAAGTTGAAGTTACATCCTTCTAACAGGAAAAGTAACTTTCGTTATCATGGAATTATAACAAAACCTGCCAATTCAATATAAATGGAAAAAAAATATTATATGGAATTGAACGAAAATGAAAATTTGCTTGATAATTCAACTACGCTTGTTGGAGAACAATAAAAACACTACACTCAACAAGCCACCAATAAAACTCAACTGCCTAACCTATAACCAAAGTCTCCTTTTAATTTGTTTTTTAAAAAACGCGCTTGACAAACTTGCCCCGCATGCCGAAGTTGCCCCGATCTCCCCTATATCTATACTAATATTATAAAGAGGTAATGTTTGTAAGTATGTAAGTAAGTAAGTTTGTATGCAGCAGGTAATCTACGAAACTACTCATCCGATTTCAAAAATTTTTTCACTAATTTTTAGAATGGAACTTCAGGGTGGACATAGGCTGTATATTATTCCGTTAAACATTCATATAAATTAAAAGTTATAATCTAGGTTAAGGCTTTTATGTCCAACAGATGGCGCTACGAGTACGACGCCCTAAGTTTGCTTTTCTGTGAGGCATTATGCTTTTCTGTGAAAATGAACTCAAGCGGATCATCATCTATCTATTTATATAAATAAAAATGTAATGTTCGTTTGTTTCTACTGATTCCTTTGAAATTTTGACACAACGCTGCATTCGAATACGCTCGTGTTTTTATATAATACTAGCAGGTGGGCCCGGCGTTGCTCGGGCAAAAGTAACGATAACTAAGATAAAGATTATTACGTTACAGTCAACCTTACCCGTTTTCACAGAATGCAAGAATTGGGTCTCTTTGTTTCCAGACTAATTAGAGAATTTTTAGATGGGTCTAAAAATGTGTTCGATTTCCCGCAAAAACGAAAAAAACTGCATCTGCGTATTGCACGTCGCTTTCTCTTAACAATTCCATTGTTACGTAACATTTCCATTGTTGACACTTCCATTGTTACTTAAAACTTTTATTGTTACTTAAAACTTCCATTGTTACTTAACACTTTCATTGTTACTTAACACTTCCCTTGTTACTTAGCACTTCCATTATTACTTAGCACTTCCATTGTTACTTAACACTTTCATTGTTGATGGAAGTATTAAGCCTTAATCCTGTCCCTCTCCCCCGTGGGGAGGAATTTCAAAAAATCCCTTCTTAGTGTGCGTTTTCGTGACGTACCCTATCTGTGTACCAAATTTGAACTTTCAACTCCTAACCGTTTGGGCTCTGCGCTTATTATTATTATTATTATTATCATCAACCCGTCTCGATTATATATTAGATACGTGTCAAAATTCCCCCCACTGAAGGAAGATGGTTAAGATTAAGGCTTGCGGTTAACGTAAGAACTCTGCTTCTATTATACTATTTTAGATGCGGGTTTTTGCGTTTTTGATTGCGTTTTAATAGGGTACGTCAACAGAATGTACACTAACAAGAAATTTTTCGAAAAATTTTTTCCCACGGGGGGAAGTGTTATACATTTATAATAGATACATTTTGAGCCACAACAACGCGTGGCGAGGTCTGCTAGTATATATATATATATATATATTAAACTTTTGTTGTTTGTTAAACTGTCTTCCTGTCTTTCTCGGAATTCGCTTGCGCCACTAACTATAGGTGGCGTATGAGTCGACTAAAATGGCTGCCACAAAGGGT